TCTATTGAATGAAGGCCACTCTCCAACAAATCCACGAGTACAGCATCCTTTATTGCTCTTGCACTTCTTTTTTTTTTAAGGTTGAATTAGGATTTGGGGCTAGAATTTATAATTAAAGTGTATATGCTGATTTTAGCAGGACTTATATTTTCAAATCAAGACCCCAAATTTCAGTATTAGCCAATTTCAGCATTAGCCGCAACATTTATTTTTAAATTCGTACTAATTTTTTATGGCCTATACTTCTGTTTTTTTTTCGTTAATAAGTTTCTCTAAAAGGAAAGTTAACAGAGCTAGAGAAAATGATTGATGATTTTGCAAAAGGCGACGAAGAGTTAGAATTCGAGGAATGGAAGCAACAACAACGCCTTTTGTTTAACCAACATGTCAATGAAAAAAAGTACGTCTTTAAATTATCGTCGAAGGACGTAACAGACAGAAAGAAATATACCTGATGTCTTTGTGTTAACAAATGCTGAATTTTGAGTGGTTGTTATAATATTGATTGATCAGACCATAAACAACCATGTTTATTAAAATACAGTCCTTCGAACCTTGATAGTCTTTTATTTCCTAATTATAAATTGATTTTGACCAATTTCTTATATTTAGTGAAGAGCTGGAAGAAAAAAGAGTGCTTTATCGACAACATTATGAAGAGTTCATGGCCAATCATCAGGTTCAGAGGGTACAGCTTTACCAAGCTAATTTTGAAGCGCAAATGGAAGATTATCGAAATCGAATAATAGATCCTTCTATGTTTAATGGTATGAGTTTTCTTATTTCTAATAATCAATAAATTTTTAGTTTCAACTGTCGCGATTAAAAAGATCATTTATATTATGATGAATAGCACATTCTATGCGGCCAATAACATATCAATCCGATGATGATGTTATAACTAAGTTAGATCAAGTTGTGCTTGAAACAGCAGATGATCGAAATGCTTTGGAAGATTTTCTTGGCTCGAGTGATACCGAAGACATTAATGAAATTCAGTCCTGAGTTTTTTGATTATTACCGTTTAGCACTGCATATAATACTCAAGGTCTTATTCAAACCTTTTTATTTCAAAGTTGACTAGTACCCGGAGGCAAGGATGTCATGGGACAACTTTGAACACGATTTTAGACATTTTAGATATTTGAACAGAAAAATTAACATTTCTCAAAATTTTAAGATAAACTATTCTCATATTCTAAGTAAAATATTTAGAACAAAAAAAATATATAAGGCCACCCAAAATTAATTGGTTTTCATAACCCGGCCGGATCAAATTTTTGAAACTCTTAAAAAAATTTTTTTATATTTTCTAATAATCGGGTGGGCTTTAAAACAAAATTTTATTTTATACAGTCAGACCTTATTATAGTCACTCTTGATATAGTCACAACTATACAGCTATAAGATGCTGATAAAACTAAATAATGTTGTGAAACTGGTGACTATCTAAAATCTGATTGGCTATTATATTAAATTTCACCAGTTTCACAAGCATCTATAGTCACAACCTTGATATATTTTTTAATAATCCTAACCATTGTAGAACATATAAAATTTGACTTTTATATAGTCACAACTTTTTATAATCACTAATCACCAAATTTTGTATTCCAACCTGATGATTATATCGAGGTCTGATTGTATATGAAATTTAAAAAAAGCGGCCGGGTTTATTAAAAGTTTCATGTTATGAAAATCAAGATATTAAATTTGTTTATTTAGTTGTTAGTAAAGTTAAATATATTGGACATCTGGACGGGACATGTTAGAAAAGACTTTGAAATCAAAAATGTACAACCTGTCCAGGGTACTTTGTACTTAAGTGGGTACTATATTCATATGAAAAGTAATAAATGAATATAGTTTTACCCCGCGCATTATTCAAGCATTATGTTGGTAGAGATGGTGAATAATACCCGAGTCTTAATCGTGGGTTATGAGAATACATTATGCAGTGCTGAACGGTATTGTGTTTGAATAAAGAAAATCAGGATTTATTAAAGATGGTAATTAATTCCCAACTAATATCCAAAGAGAAGTTTGAGATCCTTCCACATTGATGACATTTATTAACTTGACTGGTAGCGATCGTCATATTCAACATGGTAATTTAGATGCCCGCCTAAGTTTAATATTTAATACAAAAAAGTTTGTACTTGTTAAATACAAATTATCAAGATGTAATAATGCAAGATGTGAATTTAATAGCAATATTTATTTGTATCATTATATGCGTAAAAAACTCATTTGATCCATCTACAAATTTTGGTTATTTGAACGTTATATTTGTGCACTTTATATTATTCATATCAACCGATTTGGTTTGGCCTCAAAATTAGCCAATCATGATTGAGAATTATTTGTCGTTTTTACAAAAACGGTTTTTTAAACTTACTTTGATTTCATAATTAAGTGTATATAATATTGCAATATCTACATGTTTAATTATTGGCTGAAAGTAAGTTAAAAAGGCCGTTTTT